CAGGTTTGTCCATGTATAGGTATGAAGTGCAAGTTCATCCTTTGGAGAAAGAGAAGAAAGATATGCAGTTTTCAGCTGAACTTTGAGAAGGAATGGAAAAAAGAGAAGGAAAATATTGCCTTTTGTGTTTGCTGCATCTAAATGTGCTCCTTGAAAAAGTTAAAACCATCAACCTAGAACCAAGAATATTGTGCTTCTGGGTTATCAAACTGCTGAATTAATCTTAACAATGTAATTTTAGTTATCAGAAACACAACTATATTCTAAAGAAAACAGGGTCACAGGAGTAGCACTGTGAATTTTCAGTTTTCTTTTTGTTCCCTCATGGATTTGAGGCCAGGTGAAAACCTTTCAATATTTATTATTATTATTGTCATTAGTCTTGTTATTACTGCTATTATTATTATATGCCTCCTGCAGAAGTGGGCATTTAGAGTACTGCTCCATTCAGTAAGACAAAAGCAGCATCCCTAAAATAAATGCATTTTAAAAATATAAAGGATTCCTGTTAGAATTATGTTACTTCATCCCCCTACTCATAAAGAATTTGTGATCTCTTTTTACAGGTAACTAAGTAGAAAGTGTGGAATGACCACAAAAGGTAGGATTTTATTTGCAGGCTCACTCTTATGTGACCTGATGAGTTTCTTCAGTTTGCCTGCAATTCAACACAGGAAGACTGCCCAAAACTCCGAAAGAGAAATCAACACAGAATCAACAAAAGGTAGAAAGAGCAAGATTCTGTGAGAGTGAGAAGAGATGAAAGGAGATATGAAGTTAGTAAAGACTGTAATGTTTGAAGGGCCAGGTGCTAGCAAACCACTGCTTGCAGAACAGGTGGAGAATTTTCTGATTATGCGTCTTCATCCTCTTGCAGTGGCAACTGGACGGTACCAGAACAATGCCATACACCAGCAGAGTTCACCCAGAGGAAATGACATTTGACCAGCCCTCTCAAAACCTGCACATAAGTGGATGTGACTCACATCTGTGAATGTCCATACATCACAGTGGGAAGTAAAAGCGCTTCCACAGCTCCTCAAAGAGGAGTCAATTCAGCAACATTCAAAACCCAATTTCATGGTCATTTTAACTCTTCGCAAGAGCAGATGGGATAGTGAATGGCAGCTGGCTCATCCACCAAGGTGGATGTGAACTGAAAGTCCATTCAAGTCAAAACCTGAACCTGTGATGTACTTTTGCAGACTGAAACTTCTTCTTGTCTACAGTTGAATGCAAGTGCATAACTACACTGGGGAATGTTCAAGCTCTTCTGAGCCAAGTGTATTCAAATGGCTAAGAACTTTTGAAGATGGTGGATCTGGAAGCAGGCATCAAGAGGGCAAATCACAAATACCATGGAAGTGCAATCCCTTTGCTTGGGATAGGGCTGTCTGTGCTCCAACACTGAGATGTCAGGCATCCTGGTGAGATTGGTCTCAGGATCTGCTGCCACCCACATTCTACCTGCAGGAACTCTGCCAGGCCCTGTACCAACAAGAATCCCTGCAAACCAGCTGGAAATCCCAGCATCAAAGCCTCACTACAGTGATGTCTGAACTCCCTGCAGCTCAAAAGGTTTGGTCACTAGTGAGCCACAAAACACAGACTACCAACAGTCTTGGACCTTGGTTAGTGCAGCATATTCAGCTGCATTTCTTTCCTATAAACTGTTAGCAGATTCCTGGGTGGCTTAGATACTCTAACAGCTTCAGGTCATGCTTACAAAGTGTTAAAAAGCTACTTTAATGAGAAAACACTCCATGAAGAATTTTATTACAGATCTACTGTGCAATACATTTAGTACATGGCTTTTTTTTCAGATGTTTCAGATATTGTTAATAAGTAAAAGCCTGTCCAGAGCTAAAGAAAATGCAATGCTGTCAGGAGGAACAATGCTCCAACAGGGGTGAATATGCACACACATTAAAGGCCTGTTCTAGAGACACCATGATACTACAAACCACTGAGGTTCCTGAATAAATAACTGGCTGCAGGCAGCAAGATCCCCTGACACAGATTTTCAAGGGTCACCTGACAGGAAGCTGGCCAAGTTCTCACCATCTTTACATTATGATCTATACACTTCCATGTAGTTTTGTGCTTTGAAATGCTGTGCAAACTAGCACAGGATAGCAAAATGTGATTAAAAGTAGCACAAAACAACACTAAAGGAATTATCACTGGTAACAGGATTCTTTTTCTCAAGTTCCAAATATAGTCAGTTCTTTGGAGGGAAGAAAATAAGCTTAATTCATTTGGGAATAACTTCAAAGCAACAACAATAAGAGCAACTTTTATCTCAAAATCAGTGAAGTCAGTAACTTAAACACATTTGAAAAAGTGGGATATGATCCTGCATTCTGTACAATATTTACATTACAAAATGAGCTATTTGCAAAAGGTTAAAAATGACCTGCAAGTTAAGAATTTCCTTTTTTTCAAACCTAATAATATGAGCACAATTTGTCACAACAGTAGTATATCACAAAATAATTCTATGTAGTCTGAACATACTTTGTTGCATACTTGCAAGTACCAAGTTATAAATTTGAAATACATCTCTGCTTACTGTCTTCACTTTTAACTACCACAAGGGCTATTACCACAAGAGCTAGAGGTGTTTTCAGAAAGGAAGAAATGCTCTTTAAGCTCATGATAATGAGTACATTTACAGAACAGTTCATGCAAATTTCACAGACTCACAAATTCTAAGATGCATCAGTTAGTGAATATGAATGAATTAGTAACTCATGCAGCTGTACAGTACATAAAAAGCTAAACATACTTACCCAGTGGTATGCTATCTAGGTCTGTGTAAATACAGCAACAAGGAAAAAAAAGCAACATTCCAATCAAAACATATCCATTTATAAAAATAAATAAAACAAAAGTACCCAAACATATTCTAAATTTTTCTTAGTATCATTTCATGAGAAGTAGAATAGATGCCGTAACATAAAATGCCAATTGAAAATCCCTAGCATACGATGACTTAAAGGGACTGAATTTTTGAACTTCCTATTCGGAAGTTAAAACCATTCCAGATTGTAAAAATAACAAGCAGATTATTTGAATTTTTAAAAAATCTCAATACAAAAAAAATTGGTTTCCTACATTTCACTGCTGAGAGGGTCTACTTAAAAATGGCATACACACATGTCAATTGTGAAGTATAAGATGTTACAATACAGCATCTATTCAGAAAAGAAATAGTCTAGAATGCCCAGTACAGCATGCACAAAAGGCAAACATGACATGCAGCTGACTATTTAGAAAACAAGATGAAAAAACTACCTTGCAAAGCATGACCCAGAAAAGCATCAAGTTCAGGATTTAATTCAGCTTTTTCTTTTAGCATATGAAACAGCAGTTGGTTTTGAGTAGCACTAGTAATTTCTGTCTGCTTAAGGCGTCCCTCAAGAACTTTGATCTGAGCTTCTTTCTGAGCTGCTTGGAGACCCTAAGAGAAAGAAAGATGACAAATGTTTTATCACAACCCTTGTTTTACAAAATGAAAATTGTCAACATTTTTTTAAAACTGCAAACATAAACAATGTGCACATTGCAGCCACCTTCTCACATCCTGAAGATCAGGTGTCAACAAAGGGTCTTTCTCTTTCTTTCACCTTTAAAGACACTCATTAAGCATTCCTTTAACTTGCATTCCTCAGACTGCCTTGCAAATATGCATCTAGTGGCTAAGTGGGACATGACTCCCAAGTGCAATTCAGAGTCTTTGCCATTTTTAAGAGTAGCAAGCATCTGAAAGATTAACACCTCCACTTTCCCCAAGTAATTATTTTTTTAAAAATTATTACCTATGGTAGTCTATGACAAGGAAAAGCGGGGAGGGTGGAAGTGGGACAGGGTGGGACACAGAACCATAATCTTTCCTACCCAAACAGTCAGTGAACTTTCAGCTTTTAATGAAAGATCTAATGGCCTAACTTATGACACAATTCATTCTAAAAGAACTTCCCTAGAGCCAAGGATTTCTGACAATTTTTTCATTGTAGAAAATACAGACAAAGAAATTCACGCAGCGGTTTCCAAATAGACTTCCAAATTCCAAAGGAAACAGTATGGAAAAATGAAGGTACAAAAAATCTTCTCAAAGGCTTCTAGGGCAATAGCAGACTTTGAGTGTTAGTGCATGAGTAATAAGTGTCACCCTAAAAATTTACACACTACATTTTGATTGAACTAAAGCTACGTATCAATAGACACATTCTGCAGGTGAAAACAAACACTAGAATAGACAGTAGGCATGACCAATTTTGCAAAAAAATGTCCCTTCAGCTTTTCTATGTGATAATTACTAAACAAAAAGATTATACAATCCTTCACATAATGGAGCTTTTTATCATAATAAAGAGAAATTGTTAACAGAGTGAGTTAGAGGCACTTTTCTCGAATTAACTCTGTTGCAAGATCCATTCAAATACATCCAAAGGCTGAAAAATATGAAAAAGATTGACATTTCCAGAAGCCAATGTGATTGTGGGAATTTTCTTTACCCTTTTTTTTTCCCCACAAACTTTTTGGATTACCTGCATAGTGATGAACCAAGAATGCAAAAGAAATCCCAGATTACTGGTCAGGGGGGCTGACCCAAAGACAGTTTCAGTATCGTTAAAATCTTTCATTTGACTCAATGAGACAAGAAGAAAAGCAGCAGCAAGAGCACATGATACATGTGTGCACAGGGTTATAAGCTGCCAAATGCTTATTTTGAAAATAAGAGACTAAACATATTTCCCCAACACCTTCAGAAGAATCCCTGTGGCTCTACTCAGACTGAAGCATGCCATGCATCTACATGTGACTTAAAATTTTTTGAGGTTCATATTTGTACAAAGTTGGCTGAGACAGTCTTTTGAAAAAAGATCTCAAGCTCTCTTTAGGAGTTTGTTGAAAAGCACAGAGATTTATTTGATTACAAAAAGTAGTGCTCTTGTAAGAACAACATAAGCTAATTAATACAGTGAAGAAGGCTCTACTGGGGTTGACAAACAGGCAGTAAGTTGAAGAGGACAACAGATCTCAAAGGCCTTCACAATGAGAATCAGCATGACTCAGTAATGTTGACCAGCTTAGCTTTTTTTAACACACATTAGTCATGTCTTTAGGTCAGCACAACATATCTGCTCCTGGCACATGTCATAGTCCTGGCACACACATATTTCACTTACACATTACCTTATTGATACCCATCATAAGGAAGTGATCAAGCAAATATGGAGCTTCTGTCAGAGTGCAAGCATTAATCACTGCTGTTACATCCAAGGTCTCTCCTTCTTCCTATGTGTGCAAGAATAAGCCCAGTCAGATTGTGAAAAAGTCTGAAGAATTGTATTAATCTATTGCCAGCAGACTAGAAAGCATCAGCTTTGACACTTAAATGCTTCACAATCTTAACTTGCATTACACTATTGACATTAAAACTGAGGTATCAATTGTATAAGTCTCCATCTCAAACTTCACATAAAAGTTTTCACCAGTTTTCACTTCCAGTCTCAGTAATTACACAGATAAACAAAAACTAATTTCTAAATGAGACCATTTTCAAGGCTAACACAGTTGTGTTTTCTTGTCCCCATTTTACCATTTTTGCAATAATATTTGACCTACCTTTGCTTCTTCCATTTGCATAATATTTGCTTGGCAGTCAGAAATGCTGTCGTTGATGTAGTCTATATTTGCAGTTACTGATTCCATCTCCTCATTTATGTTTTGGACATTTCTATCTGCTTCACTGCCACCCCCACCCTTGATGAGCTTCTCCCTTTTCTTTGAAAGCTTATCTCTTCTTTTGGTGAGCTCTTCACGTTGCTATTTTCCACAAAGACATAATATTACAGAAAAAGAAATTAGTAAGCCCTTAGAACTCTGAAGTGCCTTTGTGTTTTCCTTTGTTTGCTACAGTTTAACTAAGACATCATGATTCCCATGGGAAGAAGTTACAGAGGTGAATACAGTAATCTATTTGCCCATGATAGTATTAATGTGTTTCTTAGTTCTTACTAAGAACAGCCCATGGTTCAAATGTTTACTGTAGCCAAAAGCATCTTCACTGACTGCAGTAAATTCCACCCACTTTGCCAATGCTGCCATAAGAGCAATTAATTTACAGCAAACATATTTGCAGTGCTCCCTATTTAATACAATGATACAGTCAACAGTGCACAGAAGATCACCCACCGTAAGCAACCTGTTCATATCCGCCTCCATGTTGGAAATAGTCATCCTCTGCATGATAATATCAGTCACTCTGCGTTCCAGTAACTGCCACTTCATCCTGGCTGCCTTCGAGGAGTAAACTCTGCTTGTCACTGCTTTCCGCTGGTACTTCCTTCTGTGACGCATTCAAGAGAAAAATACAGTTAAGCCTGAAGCAGTCCCGTTAAAAACTCAAATGTGGAAATGATCAGGCTGGAATATTTTTCACAAACAACCTTAAAATTTCATGCAGAAGTTATTGTAGGTTTTCACAGCACCAGACAGGTGCCTCTACCCAGCCCTGAACTCTACTGCACTGTAACATGCTACACCTGAAAAACAGGTGTCAAACGCTTCTGCATCTTTCATGACCCACTATTGAGTTCAAATGCCATATAGGTGTTGTTCCCTATTTAAGAAGGAGATCTGCTTCAAATCACAGTGGAAAATCACAAATAAACCTGATACACTGAACTGCATTTTCCAGAGTTTTTCCATTAACTTAACACTGCTGTCATTGGAATGCCAAGGTAATTTCTCTTGAAGAGTAGGTTTAAAAGCCCTCAAGAATTCAAAATCCAGTTTATGTGACTTGCCTTTTAATGCCATTTTATATTATTTTATTTTTGTCTTAAATACAGAAATCTGAAATTGCATATGATAATGTTAAAATGCCCATTTTATGAGCATTACATAATAGCAGTTTGGCAACTAACAGCTCCTGCAACAGTACCTGCTAGAAAGTCCACACAAATTTCAGTTCTTGTAAGAGTCCTAAGAAGTTTTAACCCTTACCCTGTTCCATTTGTTGCAGTAACAGATAATGCTTGAACCCTTGCAACAGGAATTCTCATCTTCTGCTGTGCTGCTGTTCTGGAGCCATCATGCTCGCCTGACAAACTAGAACTTGCTTCCTGCATGGAATGCTCAGGCAGACTCAGCTTTCGACTCACTTTTCCTGCCACTTTATCAGACAGAGGCCTTACTTGTCGACGAAGGGCTGTGACCTGAAGCACAGGGCAAAGACATGATTAACTCTCCCAAAACTAAATTCTAAGCTACAGCAATAGAACATCATTCTGTTTTCAAATATGCATTGGTTTTTTACCACAGTACCTCTTCAGTTTTACGACGTAAGATAACTTCTTGGTTTCTTTTCTGAGCTTCCAGAAGCTTGAGCTGATGCTGTGAAAAAACAGAAGCAGCATATGATTTTTTTTTTCATTCTCTCTCACAAGGACTGCATTGTATAAACAAAAAGACCTCTACACATTAATACAAATCTGCAAAATTTCTGTTACATGAAGACTCAAATCTGATCGTTTCTTGATCTTCCTAGCATAGAACAAAAATAAGTGTTTCACTGCATCAATTCTATCAAAAACAGTAATTCCATGCAAGCAAGGTAGTAGCAACAACTTTGTGAAGATTCATTAATCACTAGTTCACTGATAACATTGATATACATACTCAATAAGCACAATAGGAAATATAAAACTTATCACCTGAAGCTAGAAACTGTATTTGCATGGAAGTCAAACCAAATTTTGTGCATTTTCTCTGGTGCAAACATGCCTGCCTCAGTGAATGCATATACACGGGGTGTGCCTGCAAGCAGAGGCACGTCATAATGATAAGTGCTTATTCCAAATGAAAGTTCTTTATCTGCCAAATCACCTCTCGTTTGCGTTGCTCCTTTTTAAGCTGTGCAATCTCTCTATTTCTTCTAGATTCAGTCATTCTAGCTTTCTCCTGCTCTTCTTTCATTTGCTTCATCAAGCGAACCTGTAAAGAAGTCATCACTTAGAAAAGCTGCACACACTGAAGTTCTGCTCCCTGCTCCCAACTATACAGAGTTTTCTCTTCAAATTGCCATTTTCCACTATGTTACATGCTTTTAGCCATTTAGTCTGAAGTACAATGTCATCTTCACTCAGTGCTGAATAACAGCTAATAAGCTGTGCAAGCTTATGCATGTTTAATACCTTAATTTCTGTTCATTAAACCTAAAAGCTGCCCCTCTCCCCAAGGAACAGCCTGGTGCTCGCATCTCCTATTTTAAGCAGATAACAGCAAGAACAGAGTTATCAGATAGATGGATGCACAGGAGATTTCAACACAATTTTCAGTAAACATTTATTGTGGAACACTTCAATTTACTGAAATATACCTTGGTTTTCTTCATCTCTGTCACCTCCTGCTGCAGTTTCTTGAGCTGCTTTTCATATTGAGACTGATTTTTAAGCAATCGTGCATGTTCCTTTTGTGCTGTTTGAAGTCTCTGCAGTTCTTTATTCATGGCTTGGAGTTTCTTTTCATATTCTGACTTGATTTTTTTGGCCTTTTCTTCTGAATAGGTCTCTACAGAACCTAGAGTAAAAGGGAATTCTTAATCTGCTTTTGTTCAGGGTACTTTTACTTTTGCCAGCCACAGCAGATAACTACTTCCTCTGCTCTAGAATTGCTACAATATTGCTCTGCAATACCTTTAAAACAACCTAATTTCTCTCTAGTTCCTGCCACCCACACTGCTTTGAACTTTCCACCTGGTACACATTTTGGGATAAGACATCAACTATTAACACTTTCCTCTGACTTCTTTGCAACAAATCTGAGCACCTGAAAGTACGAATAGACACATTCACACATATGTACACAGGAGTATAACAACACTCCTAAAAGCCATCAAGCCTAGTATTCCTCTTCTGACACTGATCAACGGGGAAGGTCTAAGGAATAACAGGGGAACAGCAAAAGCTTAGACCGTGTATACCTGTAAAGCATATATATGTTTAAAAAATAAAAACAAACAAAATACTTTCCACAGCACTCCCAAAGTGCAGTTATTTGTGGCAGGTAATCTTGAATCAGAGGTAGTTTGTCATCTCAATACTAACACATATTCAAAAATGTTTGGTCAGTAAACACCTCTAAAAGATGTTTCACTGATTCTTGCTCTTATTCTCATGCAAATAGAAAGAAAGTGAGGAGGAAGGAACACGAAAAAAACTTCTAATCAGGAACTATCTCCAGGATTATGAGAGCTCTTAGAAAACTGAAAATGCTTATTCACCCAAATCAAATACCTGTCATTAGCAATGCATTTAAAAAAAATCTTCTCTCAATTCTAATAGAAACTAGAATGAATAAAAAATTATTAACTGGCATTATGAGTACAAAACATACTTCTGTTTTCTGCAATTTCTCATCAAATTTGAAAAAGAAAATGAGAGAAGTAGAAAATGGTTCAATAGCTTATACAAGATCAATGATTTTGTACTTCTTACCCAAGTTTTGAAGAACCTGATCTCTTTCAAGCTGTGTGTCTCGAATTTTATGTTGTAGCATCATTAGTTTCTCTTCATACTGTTTTTTCAGTGTTTGCAACCTTCGCTGGCTGTTTTCTAGCTCATCTATCAGTTTCTGCTTAATGGCTATTTCACAGGTGATATTTGCCAAGTCAGCTTGATAATTTTCTAAAACAGAAAGATTTCTGTTAAATTAAAGCAAGGACCACGTGAATACAGATAATCCTTGCAATCTTAGAGTCATTGTTAATACATATTGCGCACGGGAGGATTCCACACAAATCACAATGAACCTGGCCTCTGGTCAATTTCAAAACCCATCCAGGAACACTCGATCAGCTGTCTATTACATGTTTTAGCATCATAACCAAAAAAATAATTCACAGAACATGCTCTTCACAGAGAATTACACACAGATGGTTGACAATACACTTTCTTGCCCACCAAGACCTGAGGTCTGACAGATATTATTTGCAAAACTCTACAGAATATTACACTGACATCACCTTTTTCATCAGAGTCAGAATCTGATTCATCTGAGCTTTCAACGACTTCCATATCATCTTCATCCTCATCATCTTCCTCTTCTTCATCGTCATGATCACTGACTTCCTGAATTTCCTCCTACAAAACATACAGACATTAAAGCACCCCCACTTTTCCATGCCACAATTATTTTTGACTATCACTGTGAAGCTGCAGTATTTACCTGGCACATTCCTAATTTTCTTTCTATAAAATTGTAAATCTTTAAACAGACAATGAACAAATAAATCAAACACTTATATATACTTACTCCCTCCAATTCATTATTCTCTCTCTCTGAAGTGCCTTTTTCATCTCTTTTCTCCTGCTCATTGTCTGTGTTATCCTCCTTAACACTAGTAGGAGAGGAAGACACAAATTATTCACAAACTGAAATGACAGTTTTCCAACCCCAATGGTTGTTTCCCATCCCCCACACCAGTACGGTGTAATTGGTGTAATTCCAAATAAAGATAAAAAACAAAGTGTAGTTAGAAAAACGTAAAGTGTTGGGCATGGGTAAAACACAACTTCCAAACTTCTGCAGATAATAAAATAATGCCTAATTGCTTTTATTGTTGGTTTGCAAGGTAATAGTAATGATTAGCACACTGTTCCAGCATACCACACAACTGGGACAATCAGAATACACATTTCCATGTACTACAGCAGTACTCATTTTGTATGGAAGTTGCAGTGTACCCAGAGTAGCGTTCACAAAAGAATAAAAGAATATTGTGTGCAAGTACAGTTTACATTACAGGTATTCCTACACTTTCAAGATATAACAGAGCTTACTGTACTTAGAATAGTCTTAAAATTTATGTATACACCTTAAACAATATCCTATTTATCATAATATAATTTATACTCTTTTGATTAGTTATCTATTTTGGCATAAAGTGAATACTCAAAATAGTCACTGATACAACAATAAAAAGGGTTTACAGCAGGGTATTTTTTGTTTTGTTCTAAACATTTGGTGTATTACCCATTAGGGCAAGTTTTAACATTTTAAGTGCACATTTAAGACATCGCATGCAAATAAAAAACAAAAAATCAATGGCAGTCTGCAAATTATCACAGACCGGGTATCAGTCCTTCTAAGTGCTACATGTACAAAACCCAAGCTCCAATGGATGGGAAGTTGTGACAGAATAGATCTAGCCACCATAGGGGGTACTAATGCAAAAATGTGGTTAGGACTGCATAATGTGGAATCCACCTTAACTAACATCAGCTGCATAAAAGTTGTGCTGTCACTGATCAGGCACAGAAGCTAGAAATGCACATCTTCCTCCACTGATCCCAAGAGGAGCTCAGATTCACGATCAAACTCTTGGGCAAATCCAGTATTCAGTGCAGTGACAAAAAATAGACAGTAGATTTGAGACACTGATTTGGTAAGTGACTCTTTAACAGTGCTCGAATTTAAAAAGTGCCTGTTGAGTAACAGTGCTGGGTACACGAGATTTTCTGTTGTGTTACTTTTTAATCTGTTCAATGGTAAATGATTCCCTTCTGCCCCACTCATTACCAGTTACATGCTGACCATGCACAAGGCAAAAAGCTTTTGTTGGGACCATCTAAATCCATACAGTAGCTGGGGATGCTGGAATTTAAAAATCTAACCAGATTTGCACACAAAAAAATGCCTAACAGGGAACACTGTGTCATACAATCTCATTTCCACAGATTCACCTCTACCTCAAACCAGATCATGTTTTATGTTTGTTATTAAGCCTAAAAGATCATGTACCTTAGCTGCAATCCTCATGCAAATTGAGGCAAACCCCCAGTTTCCCGTCCACTTAGTACAGAACTAATCACTACAGAGAATTTGTATTCTGCCTAAGAAAGGGGAGAGACAGGAATGAGAACCAGCAGCTCTCCCAGGTAGACCTGTACTGCTCAATGTGTATGTTACTGGATTCCCATCATCTGCATCAATTTAGTGGGTGGGTTTTTTGGATCAAAGTAGACAGCAGAAAAATAAAAATACCTTTAGTTTCACTTTTAATCATAATATAAATCTCTTTTCAGAACCCCCAGTTTAACTGCTCTCTGTGAATGACTATTCATCTACTGGTTTAGCTGAAACAGAATGGGAGGAATGATCAAGGCTTTCATCACATGTTTTCAGAAACCAAAGCAGCAGACTTGACTGAGGTGTGATGGTCCAAGACACTCTTGATCTCACATGCCAAAATTATGATTGTCATATACTGCCTGTTAGATATTTCATACTATATGTGGTACTGCACCTTCCTCCTGCCTTTCATTTCTCTCAGGCCATGCAAGAAAGAAAACAATTAATTCAACAGGAATTTCTGAAGGTGCCACCTCCCCACAAAAGTTTGCTCAACAACGTGTAACTTGAGAGTCAACCTCAATTCCACAACAGATGTTTCCATTTAAAACACTAGCTGAAAGTGAAAACCCAGGAAATAATTCTGAAAATTAACTACTCCTGGAGTACCTATGAATCTGCCCAACTTCTTTTCATGTATGACAACCAGTTAATTGAAATGACAGGTAATTAAAAACCTGGGAAATATTCCAACCTTCTTTCTTCTTGACTGCTTTCCTCAAGTTTCTGTAGCCTTCAAAAGCACGAGGTACAGTATTGGAAGGCCAAGCCAATGAAGGACAAACCAGACAGTGAAAAGCAAAAGTGATAAGAAGGTAAAAAAATGATATATATGAGCTTGCGGAGTTTAAAATGAAATTTTAAAAGATACCATCAAGAGACAACAAGTAGTAAAAAGGCAATACATCCTGGACAGTTGGAAAGTAAACAGAAAACAAAAAAGAAGCATGTGTAGGTTAACTAATTTGCCACTGATAACAAGTAAATTCAAGTTACACCAAGGAAGAAATTTTAGACAGTATATTTAACTTTGAGAATTATTTCTAATAATAGATTAAGAAAATATCTCAATTCTGGAAAAGCTTTTTCCTCTTTCTCCACTTAAAACTGGCTGATAAAATAACGAAAATTTCAAATACTCCCACTGACCCAAAGTTATATATTCTCAGAAACATATCAGGAAAAAAACCAATAAACTAATTTTATATATGCTGGTAACATATTGTAATATAAAGTATGAATACGAAAAATATGGTATGAATATTCTAAATAACATAGTCTGGATAAAATTAATACAAAAATATCTTCAAACTGCATTCATGTTTTTGTTTGGGTTTTGTTGTCTGTTTTTAAATAAAAAGTAGAAAACTGCAGCTTGTTTTTCTGGGATTCAGAAAGTACATGTGAATAATTTCTTGTTATTTTTTAATAAATTAACAAAAAACATGCACCAGAAGCAATGAGATGAACAAAATGTTAGTATTTCTACCTGCACTTTTCCCTCTTGAATAAACATGGATGTATCAGTAAAAAAAGTCTTCATGACATATATAATAATCGAGATGGCTTAAAATTCAACTACTGAAATTCCTCATTTCCCATTATGACAAAGTTTCAAGCAAGAGCTTTTGCTGCCTTTTCACTTTGTACTGCCTACCACCTTCCTTTGGTATTAGCTAGGAGCTAGCAAGCTGATCCCCATGTAACTTTCATCACTAATTTAGTTTAATTAAGGTTAGGGGAGTCAAAAGAAAATAGAAATGGTTACCAGGTTGTAAGGCCAACTAGCAACTGAAAGGAATGTGGAAGATTTGCTATGGGGCTTTCAGTGGGTAAGTCACATTAAGTCACACTGTGGGATACTCCAATCAGGTAGGCAAAGTATTACTGCTGTGTTAAATGTTTCCAATAAACTTTATGACATATGCTTATTAAGGCTATAAGTATTTAACCTACATACCTGCTGCTCATTCAGAACCTTGCTCTTAGACCTTCAGGCTACCTCACAACAATTTAAATAAGTTGTATGTATTTAAAATTATGCACCTTTTGTCATACTGACCCATACCCAGGAAACAAAAGACCAAGAAGGGCAACAGATGGGGCAGAAACAGTTGCTAGGCTTACCAATCCCATTTAAATAGAAAAATGCTAGTTAGACAACTTTAAAAGAACACCAACACTAGAAAGAAATAGTAGAGTAAATGTAACTAAATGCCTGTAGAAGACTGAATTATAACAAAGAATCCTCATCAAACGGCAGGGCAAAGTGTCTGTGCATTATATTAATGTACACACTGCCAATTCCTGAAATTTAAATAGAATAAAAATTCACAGTGATATAACCTTAACACAGACTTTTCACTAATTAGATAGAAGCACTCTGCAGATAGCAAGAATGACAATGTACAATCCCTCAAATTCTAACATTTCTTAGCATCTAAGGAATCTTCCTCCCAACACATGCACCTCAGAAATTTCTAAGTATTTATTACAACGCAGTCTGCAGATAGGCCAGTAGAGAGATTCAAACCATATCAGAACTTTGAAGAGTATGACCCCATTTTCTAGAACACAAGGCACACTTTAAGATGGAGCCATCAAGAGGCCTCTTCCAACTTTAAATTTTCTACAGCTCTCTAATTCTATAATGCTAGGATTCAAAACTGATCTCAAAAATAATTTATGGTAAGTAGTCCCTACTTTCAGATCAAACTATTTGGCTGTCCCATCACAGTATTATTATCTTGGTGTGAGAAAGTATGACTGGCTTTCAAAAAAACCACAACAAAAACAAACCACAGAAACACAACCTAACAACTGAAGCTCTATCTAAGCATGTAGCTAAATGCATGCGTGATTTTAAAATGTGTTAAGAAATACAAAATCAAATCTCTTTGTTCCTACATTTAGAGTTAAAGGACATACTGAAGTGCTTGGCTAAAGAGAGGACAGAACATTCTAATGATTTTATTTAATACTTCCCCTCAAGTTTCTACAAAAATGAGACAAAATCTATCAAAATCCTCAAAAGTCTAAGAGCTTCCTGAAAAATTATATGCAAAAATCTAGTTGTACTTAAAACAACTGTTCTCTAAAGCATCAGACATTTGTGTGGTGAACAGATCTATAGATATAGGACCTAAAATTAAATATACAACTGATCCTCACCTACTTTATATTTAGACTACTTCAAGCTTAAACTGTTATAACTTTACTCTGAACTTGTAGAAGTCTGAAGGACCATTATAAAAAAGAGCAACAGATTAGAAACATGGAAAACTTCAACTAAAACTGAGATATTTCTAATGGACGCAGAATCCCCGGGTACAAAAAGCCTTGCTGTGCTGCTATCTAAACAAGCATTTATGTCAATTTCTATGAGGATTTTAGTAGATGAGAAGTTGGACAGCAAAAAAAAACAAAAAAAAAAAAAAAAAAAAAAAAAAAAACAAACAGCAAAGCATGATGTTGCAGAGAATTAGGAAACCTCAAATTAAAAAAAAAAACCATTCATAGAAGCAAAAGATAAAGCAAAAGAAGTAACTTCAATAGTTACCAAGGAATCCCCAGCTATTCAGAGTATCTTTTCTTCAGAAAGCTGTTTCAGTTTTGATATAGAATTAAAATAAATTTTAAAATTTTTTCAAACTTCTGTTAAATTTCAGGTGCATTTTAGAAGAAATTTTTAAAAAGGTAAAGATTTAGAGAGAACATCTGTGCTTTTATCATTGTGCATAATTACATAGAAAGGTTCATTACAAAGAAGACACTTAATCTACAAATACTGCACACTTCACTGGAAGAAAAGATGCAAAAGAAAAACTGTAACTTCAGCATGTAAAAGGGTTTGAAGGAACAGCAGTTTAGCATCCAAACCCACACAAAAAGCCTTTTTAAGTCTCAGTAATTTAAAAAATAGGCCTTTTTACTAAGAAAAAGAAAGAAAATAGAATTATAATTCATACGCCACCTCTTTTTCTTTTTCCTCTCTTTTTTTTTCAGCTTTTCTAGATCTTTCTTGGCTATATCTAGAATTTCCATTGTCTCTTTCTCTGAGGAAAGCATAGAAGCAGAAAATGCTGATGGTCCACCAAAGTACGTGGCTCTCGATGAGGCTCTTGACAAGCTGCGTCGAAGATTTTCATTCACTGCTTCACTTTCTAATAATTTTGCTCTTAATAAAAGACAAAACAAGGAAAAATTGTAGACCATTAATTACAACTATTGCCAGTACGTGAGGTGTACACTCTTTTGCCTCTGTAACTTCAATGCATTACATTCTATCTAAAAAGAAACTACAAACCAAGGTGAAGTCTAAAAAAATACAATGTAGTAAATTCCTTTAAAACACCATTTTACACAATGGTTATTATGTATGTTGTACATATATTATATAACCTTGACAGAATACATGAAAATATATCTGTATGAACATACATACAGACATATATATACACAAATACATATCTGAACATGCTTTATGAGTATATAGTATATGAAAGATATACAAAAGCTCTAATATAAACTGAGGATAGGCCAGCTAATTTTTTGCATGGTGTATATCCAAGACATAGATAAATAAAAATATCTAAAATCTTAGATTTTTAATTTTAAAAGGAAGTATTTAAAAAAAAAAAAAATTAAACAAGTAATTCCTTAGTGCTATCATTTTTATATGAGGTTATAAAGTTATAAAGGAATTGTTCTAAGTTTTACTGTCCTTGTGCAACAATATTAAGTTATTACCATAATTTAGGCAACATCTTACTCTCATTTCTATTGCCAGTTTGATCTCTAATATTTTACATTTTGGTGTCCAAGAGCAACACCAGGTCTTCAAAGCTGAAGGACCATTCTCCCAAAGTAATCCCCACACAGGAAAACAGCTGAAGTATTCCTAACACTTCTATTTTTTTTTTAATTGTCCAAATACATAATGCAAATACCTGAGATCTTCAATTTCCTTGATATAATTATGAATCATGTTGCTAATTTCTTCATTTCCTTCCCCTTTGAAGGACAGAGAGAAAAGGGGAATGAGGAAAGAGAAAGATTAATGGCAGTAACAGTATAAATATCTGAATATAGGCATGAGGTACCAGCAAAGGGAAACCGTGACATGGGCTACACATGTAAATCTTAACTTATTTATAAAACAGCTTTCCTTCTTAAACTGAATTACATTTTTTGTTCCTCTCTCATGTGATCACCATATGACTACCAGTAACTTGTTTTCCATATTAGTGCATTTTAACAATGCTTTAATCAAAATTACTCATCTTGAGTTTAATTTGGATTCAAATTTACTTGGTCTGATTGTTAAACCACTACAGGGGCTAAACATACAAATAAGTCCTACACAAAGATATTGTTTCATATTTTCTATTGTTCACATTTCAAAATTGATGGTCAAATCAGGGTACCAAACTATTTCTATTATTAAAAAAAGACCCCAGAAACAGAAGAAATAATTATATGGGGGCCTATCCCTGCCAAAGGAGGTCCTACAGTGCTAATAAAAAGGCATCATTTGATTTCAAGAGATCGGTGAAGCAAGAACATGAACTTATGAAGCAGTTTATGCACATTCACAGCATACCTGTCCTGGCTAGCACTTGGTTGGCCTGATCACTCATTAGCTGTGTTATTCTGGCTCTAAGAGCATCAACAGTCTCTTGCATTGCTTTAATTCTAACACGCAAGTTGTTGTTTTCTGTTTGCAGCATTGCATTCTCATGGAACATGTCATTGATGCTTTCAACACCTTCTTCATCTATAATCCTTTTACCCTTCAAGAAAGTAAAAATATTTTATTAATTATTCAATAACTAATAATTAGTTATATTTTGTTTTTAAAAAATTCTAACTTCGTAAATGCAATCCACAGATGACTTAGAATTCCAAGCATACACTTGTAGCACAGGATAGTCTCTCAAAGAGTTTAAAACAATGATAAGGGGATAGTTTTGAAAAGACTGATGTCTGGGCCAACACCTTAGCATCTGGGTTTTGTGTCACTTCAGTCTGAAATACAACTTCTTGAAGAGGTTAAAAAATGAGAAGATAACTCTTTGTCAAATCAGAATACTATCTCAAGAAGAGCAAAAGGTGATCCTGTTTGGTAAGGACCTTTATTGCTGAAAATACTGAATTAAGTCCAGGAAGGAACAGGCATGAGTATTTGACTTATATAGTTGAGACTGGATTTTTAAAACACAAATTGTTTTAGCCATCTAGGAAGTTTTCAAAAGCAATACACAGTAACTGTACACATTCACTTATGCACCAATCTAGGTTGTGGTTTTGTCATTTTTGATTTGAAAGTGACTTTCTCATTGCCTTTCAAAAAGCAAATAGCATGCATCACCAGTAAATATCGCTGACATTTGCTGACATCTCTTTTTTTGGGGATACAATCTTTGTTTTGTAAAAACATCTGGTAATCACTGGAATTAACTGTTGTTTATGCCAGGGCTGCTTTTCCAATGTTTTTAGTGTATGAAATGGAAATAATCAACAGGGGGGAAAAAAAACCTGTGGAATTATAAGCATTTTAAATCAGAAGAAATCCTAAGAGGATAAACTTACGGTTTTGTATTCCATGAGTTCCATCTGTAGCCGCGCAATCTCACTGCGCAAAGCATTTATTTGTTGACTGGCCCTATCCTGATTAACCACCACCTTGTTCTTGATGTTCCGTGCCCGGTTGGCGTACTTTAACGTGTTCAGGGTTTCCATGAAGTCTCTATCTGAAGGGCTCACACATGCTATCATGAGCGTTTGACTGGAAGGCAGAAACACAGGTCAGCATTACACATCCAAGAGAAAAAGAGCAGAGAGAAGCTAACAGGTCCTCAGGCAGAAGGTGAAACAAGAATAGCAACTCTACAGTATTTGTGAAAATATTTCTGCATCTAGCTCACAAACCACAAAGGTCAGCAGGTGCTACAGGTACTATGTCTTGTATCTCCCTAGCATAGAGTAGGAGATGCTAGATCATTGCTTGTTCCACATATGAAATTGTAAAAGCAATTAATGAGTGTTTCTAGAAACGTTTCTCAAATTACATTCAGTTTGCCTAATCATACATAAACTGAGATTAAGGAATTTATAGTCAACCTAAATTCCTGGACAGTGATTTGGATCATAGAGCTGTCAGGACTGTCTACTGTAATTCCTGAGTTGCTTACCTGCTTCACCTGAAAGATGACCAAATGCTCATCTTACCTGCCCATACATGTCTAATGTGCCTGTTCTCTACCTCAGGTTCTGAACTGGCCGAATTCTCCACTGCAAGTTATCTCCTGTTCTCCAAAAGAAGCCTAAAACTAGGACTTACCCTTAGCACTCTGTGTCTCTAACTGTATTTGTACCACATTTCATAACATCACTTCTTAGAGCAACCTTCTGCAACAAAAAGCAGCAGGACCTGAATTCTTGGCCCAAGAGGCCTAGGAACAACCATCCTCCTTTCAGTTTCCTACAACATCCCCTAGCCATCCCATCATGGGATATTATTGCAGCTCCAAATGAAAGATCAAGCAGATAGACCAGTAGAAACCAGTAGGACAAATGCAGAAAAAAACTAAAACAATTTTCACTCCAACCAAGTGCTTCCATCATTTAACACGTTCCTTCCCTCAGTCCCTGGAGCATACTCATTTCACGTCAGGTAAGAACAGCCTAGAAAGTCAGAACCAGAATTCCAGTTGTCCAGTTGCAGATCATTCTGAAAGTGCATACATTGCCTAAATTCTCAACAGAAAGGGCAAAACACCTGCATTTGATGGACTAAGTACACTCCTGCAAGTTTTTTAGGCATTTCCTTCTCCATGGTATGTCACAACTGGGATAGTTACGTTAGGAAGAGAACTGTCTCTGGGGCAAAGGAGCATTATCTGCATCAGGCAGCCTGGATTCTGATCTTCACTTTCTATAATTTCCAATTGAAACAAACAAATTAATCCCTGCAACACTCTGTGAGTCAAACAATTATATTCACCATTCATACTGGGAAACTAAGCTAGAAAGAGTAACTAGCCTGGGCTACAAAAAATTCAACAACTCTTCCTCAATTCTCACCCGTATCTTTGTGTCAGTTCTCCAAACTCTTTTAGTCCTCAAGAAAAGGCCGTGCAAGATTAGGAGCAAATTTTTTAATTCTGACATTGAGAATGTGCTTACTTTTCTAAATCTCAGAGGACTGGCTCTGCCTTGTGCTCATCTTGAAAACAGAACAACCTGAACTTCAGTTTCCTGTCTGAATTGTAAAATGGACTAGGGTTTTTTGATACTGTTCTACTTCCTTTATGTCACCATTTCTTTAAATTACTCCCCCTGCTCTTGAAGTTAGGAAGGTTTTAATTTTTCACATTATACATTATAACATTCCTTTTAAAACATCAATACTCCATATTTTTATTTTAATAATTCAAGAAACTTTAATATTGAAGTGCTGCTTCAGAACTGTTACAGCATTATACTAAAAATAAGGATTATTGTGAGAATAGTACAGTGATACAATGTTTTCATCACTGTTAATATTGCGTATTGTAGTATTTACTACAACCTAACCCAAATCATTGCTAGAAAACTGTTAAGTATTTGTTAAGAGAGAAACAACAATGTGGACGGTTATACCTAGGGTGGAAGTTGGAAGGCTATAGAATAGGCATAAAGAAGTCTAAACCTGATTCTCCAGAGGAAAAAATGTATATTCGTTAAAATTTAGCTTTCCCGCACATTTTGATTGCCAAAGCCAACCTAGAAACAATTAAAAATTCTATATATAAATACATATGGAAAAATCTTTCTTAACAGCAAAGTGCTGATTTGAGATGTCTCAGCATGTATGTAACATACAACACAACTGGGGGGAAGGAAGGCATCCACACAATTCTCATCAATCATAAAAATCAAGAAAGAACAAAAAATACATATAAGTATCATTAAAAACATTCTGGGCCAGCATTTGCTATCTGTACATTTGTGCTGGTTGGTTAATTTTCTTCACAGTAGCTGTTTTGGATTTGTGCTGGAAACACCTACTCTGGGTCCATAATGCAGATATGTTTGAGTTGCTGCTGAGCAGGGCTTTCACAGAGTCAGGACGTTTTCTGCTCCTCACCTGCTCCAACAGCAGGTGCGTAAGGGTTGGGAAGGGGACGCAGCTGAGCCCAACTGACCCAAGGGATATTCCTCTCCATATGGAATCGTGCTCAGCTTGTGAAGCTGGGGCAATGAGGAGAGAGAGGGGATATTTACAATGACAGCACTTGTCTTCCCAAGTCACAGTCAGGCATGATGGAGCCCTGCTTTCCTGGGAATGGCTGAACACCTGCCAGCCCATGGGACTGGAGTGAATGATTTCCCTTGCTTTGCTTACATATGCGACTTTTGCTTTAGCTAACAAAGCGTCCTTATGACAAAAACCCTGACTTTTCTCCCTTGTACCCTGTGACTCTCCCCTGGCGCAGGCAGGGAGTCTCTGCGGGGGCTCAGCTGCCCGCCCCCATCGCACACTAAATAAATAAAATTCCGTGATTGCTCCTGGAGAACACGGGGGGGAGCCGCGGAGCCGTGAGACGCGAAAATATTTCAGAGTCAAAGTACTATTTCTACAAAGGGCCGATATTAGAAGAGTTTGAAAAACATTCTCACTAGCTGGTGTATTCGATAAAAAAATTAATGAAGTGCTTTTTGCATTTATTTACAGAAATAGCTTAGCAGAGTTATGCTGTTTGATTTCTGGTTTGTTTGTAAATGTGGAGTTTCTTCCTCCCTTTTGCACTTTTGAAAGTTTCTAGCCCTTATTTTACTTGTTTTTTCTGGCTCTTTTCCCTCACACTGCAGTGCTTCAACTTGTTACTAAAGCCATCTCTCTGAAGAGCATTACAACACTTTAGGAATTTTCTTCCACATCTCCCTACACCTTTGTATAAAAACTTACTACTCTCCTAAACATAGGAGCCAGGCATATTGAACAAGAGTACTATCTTACTAAAATGTACTCGGCTGTAGTCCCGCTTAGATTTGTACATGTTAGCATTACAAATACAAAATCTGTATTCTTTTAATAAATTTGTTAATGTTTCCTTATATAAAGCCTTCAGAGGTCAAAGCTTCCCTTCACTGTATGTGCAGAATGTATACAATTGGATTCATACAAACAACCCTGGTGGAAAGACTACTTTCTTTTTATTAGGCTGCAATGCAACATCAGGTAACTGAATAGAGGCACCATAGGCTGAGATATATAATCTCTAAAAAGATGGAAGTGACTGTGGTAAACTGACTCCAAGCTCCTGTGCATAGCAGTCAGAGCAAACAATATTCATTGACATTTTAAAAAACAAAGCGAAAACAACAAAAAAACACCTCTAAAGGAGAAACTCATCACAGCTTTAAAATATGCTGTAAACAAAACCTACCAATTGTACTATCTACAGATAATATAATGGGAAGAACTTGCCTGAAAATGGTAACTTCTAAGTAACCTGAAGCTTCATGTCTAGTAAAAGAACAATAGCCCTGAAAAGAACAATGCAAAAATCTTCTTTAAAATCTTTCCCTTCTATTGACAGCATTAGTTGCACGACAATTTATCTCCAGAATCTTCCTCCAACAAGACTTTTATTGTCATTTAATGTTCATTTTACTTTCTGCAGATTATGTTCTCATTTGTGCTCATTCACAATGAAATACATAAAATTTTCCAATTTTCATACCTGTTTCCCCCAAGAGAGTCTTGAAGTAGCCTTGTAAGCTTTGAATCTCTGTATGGTACATGAGTTGCCTTCTTACTTTTATCTCCCAGTGCACTTATTACATTGCCAAGTGCCAGCTATAAAACACCAAATTAACACACAAGTTAGAATCAGGTCCTGTGCAGTTTTATATTAAAACACCTACAAACTGGAGTTAGCATATTGTGAGAAAATGAATATACTCATGACAGTTAGCATTAAATTATTTCTGAAGATTTCTGTATTTAGAAATTTTTGTGTTATCAACAGTGCATCGGATGACTTACAGTCTGGCACTGGAAGTGCCAAAGTGCTTAGCACAATTCATATGCACTGTTAGTATCTCATATGAGTCACAAACTACTACTTAATTTGGTGGTACTACTTAAACTAACAAACATTTGTTTTGGATTATAATTAAAGCTGATATCTACCTCTAACAGTACCTATCATTTCTTTAAAATTCATCTTATCAATCTGCTTTATGCTACATTTAGAATAAAATACGGAGCATTTATATGAAGAAAAAACCCCAGAACTTAGTACCTCTACAGTTATAAAGCAAAAAATGTCTGATAATGATTTGAGCATTTAAGACTTGAAATTAGATGTTTGTAGTCCATGGCTATCCTCTTCCATTACTAAAAGGATCTAATGCATGTTTATAAACAATCAAACATTTGGCTGTGAAGTTATTTTTATGTGGAACCACACACACTTCAGTGAAACTGAAGGATTTTGCTTTAGGTGGCGCCCTGCACTGCAAGTTCTTGCTTTGGAAATGGTGCAGCTGCCAACAGCAGATGAACTGCACATATCCTGCTTGCTTTGAAGGATTTAAAACACTTTCAATCTGTTCCACAAAACTGAGGGCTGGACTTCACTGTAAATAAAAGGTTTTTAATCGTATATTAGTTACATCACACTGATTTTCACCTTCATGCTTTATGTGGTCTTTGTTAAGGATACAACCATGTCATCTAGATCCCCCAAATCCTGATGGCTTTGTGCTTATGTCAATGATGAAATTGAACTGAATATTCTTTCTCTTCCATGTAATATATAACCAGAAGAACTACAGAATATAACCAATGTCATGATGGAAGTGAATCATTGAGAAGATTCTAATTGAACAATACCCCAGAAAACTGGTACTGCACAATAGCCCAGAAAAAAAACATGTTTTCACAAATAGAACAGAAGTGTATTTCTGTGTCTTATTGAAAAGAGTTGTACAGAGCCTCCACATAGCCATGGTACACAAAACAAAGACATGAAACTACAACTTCGACTGATAATCACCAGCTCTACTTTTCAGTGCAGTTCAGCATTAACAAAAACATTAAATACAGTTAATTTTAAAATTACTTGATTTAATACAGTTAATTAAAAAATAGCCAGTAGATAGACAAAAAAAAAAGCTGTAAGCTATAAATTTCATTTTGAAGTGTTTTGCCTGGGTTTGTTTTACATTATATTGTATAGTTGTATAGTCTTACTAGTCCACAGTTGATGGAAATGCCTTCTTTTGCCCTTTCTCCTGTAGCTCCTGTTCGCTTTAACCTTTCAGATCCCGCCAGATCAACAAAATGAAACTTGGCAGTAAGAGTTTCATATTCATTCATCTCAGAAGATTCAGATATTATCCTGTTATCAGTGGCATTATCCTGAAGAAAAGAAGAACACACAAGGCTTGGGGAGATCTTTCACATTAACATTTGCAAAGTTCAATCAACAATTATTTCCAAAACTACCTCTTTACTATGACCATCTCCTTATTTTTTCTTTTATAACAACAGTATTTTGAAACATCTTATCTCCATTTTAATCATATGATACTAACATATCATTCTTGAAGACCCAGTTCTAGATGCCTGTAATTACAAATTATTTTAAGTACAAGTTACCATTGCTTGTTGATGAAGAAATGAGGGGAAACATCTATTAAAATGTACAAGTCTCCATCAAGGTGAGCTGATCAACAAATTTGTATCTCTGCTAAAATGCAGTCTTGAATAGATTGTCAAAGGAAACCGATTTTTAAAAAGAAAGCTTTAATTACACTATTAATCACCAGAACAAGCTAGTTCATAAACTTGCCAAATAGGTGAAAGATATTTTGATTTTATACCTCTCTAAACCCCATCACCAGCCTCCCTGCGGGATGATTCTCCAATTTACATTAGGAATTATTGTTGGAAACCATTTCTCCTAGCAGTCAGTATTCCACTAGTACTTCTGACTTCCCCAGAAAATAAGAACAGAGGGAAAAAGGGAAAATGAAAAGGTTCCTTTCTCCCTTCCACCTTCCTCCCTCAGGCAATGACTGGCACTTGCTGTAAGCCTCTATCAGTGCAGGGAGTCTGCCCAAGAACACACTGCACTGGGGCAGGTACCACAGCCTCAGCCTCTTTCCATTTCACATCCCAAAGCACAGCAGGAAAATTATCCTTTTTCATTAACAATCCCAAACTTTTTTACTATTGGTTAGTTTAGTTCTACCATTCACTGTAAACTTTTTGTTTACTACAAGTGTAGTTAGATTTATTGTCAGGAAAGTAACACAATGAGAAAAATCCTTAAATCACTCATTTCTTGACCTTACTGGTAAGGCACCCATTGCAGTTTCTACTAACTTGTCATGGTGTCAGATAATAAGCATATCAAGTGTATACTGGATTCATAACAAACTCTCACAGCCCAACCTACAAGATTAGTAATTTCCAGTCATATGAAGCATAGAAAACTCAGAAAAACCTTAAAAAACAAGAAAACCAAACAAACAAACCCAAACCTAATCAAAAAGCTAAACACATCCCCTCAGGTTTTCTCTGGTGACATTTTTGTCCTTGGCCAGCCAGCCTACAGCTCCATTTGCTACTGCAAGAGGTAATGCAGGTCTCTGCAGACCAAACCCTTCTGATGGTAGTTAAATATTTCATGCATCCTTTTGTAGCAGTAACAGAAGAGAATGGGAACCGTGCTACTTCCACAAGACCAGTAACCATAATTTCTGTAATTTTGATGTTTATACTCTGGGGACCATACTAATTTGCAAGATTAATGTATCCTATCACTCTCCCTCATTTAGCAAGTGAAATGCACATCCAGAAACTTCTCAGAAGCATGGCTGATGGGAAGAGAGCCCCAGGAGCACGTCTGTGCACTGCAGCCCTGGCTGCCTGCCAGCCCTGGGCACGGGCGACCGCACACAGTGGGCACGGCCAAGGCCGTCATCCGAGAAGGAGAAACTGTGTTGCCCTAGTAACAAAGGTCTCCCAAAACTGTTGTCTACAGAAACTTGAGCTACATCTCTCTTGGCCACCCAATAATAGCTTGTATTAATTTAGATTCCAGGAGCATTCAGAGGACAGTGTCTGTTCTATCCTCTACTCTCCTAAACAACAACAGGGAAAGAAGAGGGTGTAGTCTTAAAAAAAAATCAAGGATTTAGAAATGCCCAGATCCACAGTTAGATTATCTTGTGCATATCTCCCATTAAAAGCAGAAACAAAACAGTTTGACACAAGGCAGAAGATGGCCACCTCTTCCTCTAACACAAGCCTCTGTGTTACATAGGCAGAGCCAACAACAGTTGCCTGGGCAGCTCAGCTGGAAAAAGACCCCCACATGACTCCTCACTCTTCAGCAGACAGTTTTCAACAAAAATTTCCAAGCAGACAGTGTCACCACACAGTGACCAAAGTGCCCTGTGTGGGCTTGGAGTGTGATGCCAATCCCTCCCAAGTGAAGACAGCTGACCCCACCACCAAATCCACAGTTTCAGTATGGAAAGCAGAAAGAAGTGTTTTTAGCAAGTGTATAAAGCAGGTCTACATACCACAAAGGACCAGGAAGGAACACACATTTTGCCTGTAAATGATTATTTGTAGTATTAAAAAATAAAAGCAACCCCTCAAAGAGCACTGTAAATCCAATTCACTGTTCCACATGCTTAAAAATGTGGTAACTATGGGTCAGATGATAGCCAGATTGTATTTAATATTTTAAAAATATATGCAAAAGACCTTTAGAATATTGAAGTTAAGTCTCCCTGAAGGTACTGTAGCTTTCAGTAATGTGGATTTCTTCAGAACTCTCCCCTTTACAAGATACAACCAAGAGCAACTAACAGCTGAATAGCCACACACAATTAATCTGAAATATCCAAGCAATTTCAGTTAGGCGACTGCAAATTTAAACTCACTAACTGCTATGACACTTAAATGTGCTTTCCCAATTAAAGACAAATTATATTTTAACTTTCTTGGTTGTGTATGTCGCAACAAAATACTGAAGAAAACATTAGAGGAGAATAGGTAAGTTCCTGTAAGAGTCTGCAATTTATGATTGCCTCTGGCTAGAGGATGGTTACATATGCACAGATTAAATCAAATTATTATACTGCTTAGCAAATTAATCAAGCATTATAATGACTACAGCATCCTTACTAAGTGCAATTCAAATAGCAGTGGCTGCCAAACCATCCCCATTTTGACAAATGGCTACTAAAGAGAAGTTTACCATCAGCAAAAATACGTACAGCGTTAAATGCAGGACAGACTCTGGTCTGACACAAGTGAATAGTGAAGATAGCATGTGACCGTGAGCTCTGGACGTTCATCTGCGTGCTGGCAGTGGTTCGAGACAGAGCTCCCAGCTTCAAGCACTGCATCATCTAGAAAACAGGCAAGAAGTACATGGCATCCCTTGCTGATTAAAGGAAAAATGCTCCTATAATACTTGCTGGTTTGGATATATGACTAAAATTTCTCACTTTGATATGCATTCAGTCCCTATACACAAAAAAAAAGGACAAAAATCCTTAAACATACAAACTAGAAGTATTTTTTGTGATTTCTGTAAAATACTTAAATCTTCTATTCATATTCCTCTGTTTACTGTACCCTAGTACTAACATAGCTGTCTTCATTCACCTGTCCAAAAAAAAAAGTACAATAACATTTGTATTCAAATTTGTGGTGTATGTGAACAGCAGTCTATTTCACATCAGCCAAATGCAAAGCTTTTTTCTCAGAGGAAAAATAACATATATAAGATTTGGGAGAGCAGATTTATGTATATGTCAAAATTCTCCCAGCAGAACTATATGATGAACAAAACTTTTCCTAGTTCTAAATGCAAGTGATATGCACTTAGTATCAAATTTGCCACATTGAAGGCTACAAAGAATTAAGAAAATAAAAATTTTAGTTAGTTAGCTAGTTTTTACACTTAAATTGCCCAGTACACAGACCTGGGCATGACCTCTATTTAACTGTTCATTAAAGCATACAGACATTCAGAATCTACTTGGCATGCTACAGAGTAATTTGTTTCCAGTTATCACCTCAGATTCTCCAGTCACAGTTCGGGTTGTAACACCCACTGTATAAATTCCTCCTGCTGAATCTTCATGTATTTTAATATTTGATTTTTTATTCTTTGCATCAATATCACGTGTGGTATCAAACAGATCAAGAATTTCTTCATTGTAAAGCTGAGAAAAAAAAGACAAAAAACATCATTTTTAGAAGGAGCTCCTCCAATGATTAACAAATCTGTGCATGGCACATACCAAAAGTTGCAAAAATCCAAGCGTCTCAGCTCCCAAAAGATGTGAAATATCCAAACTTGCAAGGACAATAGGTGACAGCAGCTGCAAATTAAGTGACCTGCTTAACTTCCTATTATGCTACCCAAAGATGCTTCCTTCACATTGCCATATCTGAAATAAAATTCTTCAGTGGGACCAGGGAAGAGGAGGAATTTGGTGCCAGCAGAACAAGAGTGGTTTCTGTGGCAGGCACCTGCTCTCTTCAGATTTAACCTTGGGCTTTTCTTTTGTGGATTCAGTTGGCTGCACCCTGTTCAGAACACTTACAACTCACTCCACGTGCTCTCCCTGCCATTGCAACTTTCCTCTTCTTCTCTCTCACACCTTCATATTTCTATGGCTCTCATTTAGATAAATTCTTCCTGGGCAGGAAGGAATTTGACATAGAATAATAGTTTTTGTGCAAGCCACTTCTTAAAGACACCAAGCATCAGTCCAAAAATACTATGGCATCGCTTTTTGAGCAAGGCTTTTGTACCCCATAACAATGTTCTGAACTTTATGCAGTGTTTAGATCGAATTGAAGATATCAGGGGGAATAAAACAGACAACCCACCCAGAAAAAAACACTATCCCACTGAATGTCATGACTCAAGTCTCTGCTTGTGTACCCTGGAACATATCAAGTGTCTCTAATTTAGTTATACTAATTCATGTCAACAAAGCTCAGCCCAGACTAATTCAATTCCTGATCATAATCCCTAGGCAACAGTCAAACCACTACAACAGATCTGTATTCACACAAGGTACTTTCTCATAGTACTGAAATTAAGTGACTTTCTCCTCTCAAAAGAAAAAAGTCATCCCTGAGAATAAAAAAACTCAGTATTTGTGAATGTGATGCTTTTAATCCTTTACATATTAAAAAAGGAATTGTATTTAATTATTAGGCACAGATATTCTATGTAGGAATCTTCTCACTAATGTTTTACCTTCATAAATTCAAACAAACTGATGTCACAATTTAGAGCAGATCCTGATACTGCAGTTGCAATTGGATGAGACTGCATACACCTGTCTTTTGAAAAAGCAGGAAAGCAAGGAGTTAAGGGAGGCAGACTTCAGCCAACTAAAGAAAGGCAAGGAAGTAGCAAACAGAAGTCACTGTTCCCAACAGTTATCCAGCTGTAAGACTTCAAAGTTACTCCAAAAATACAATCTTGCTTCAACTTGCTCAACGACTAAATTATTGTTTATGCAATCCAGCTCTAATGGTAGGATGGGAGGAAGAGAATACTATTTGACACAATAATACTGTATAATATCAAACTAATCAGAAAAAGCTCTTTCTGGGAAAGCCTCAGTAAAAGAAAGAAAATCTACCAACTAAAATACATTTTTTTAAGGGAGAAATTATTATATACAAATTTAGCCTTTCTCTATATAGATAAAGAAGACAGGATTCAGTATGTACAGTTCAGCTGAAATACATTGCAGTGGCTGCAATTCTTCATACCATTCTCACTGTAACATTTAATCACTGCCCTGTATTTTGGGACACAGTCATATTTGTAATGTTTTGTCAAAAAGTACAATAAATTCAGAAACCACACTGGTTACTGCTCCTTATGCTACTCATGTTGCAGCTGCCTAAGCAAAGCTGCAGCTCCCTGCTGCACAGAGTAGAGCATTCCCACAGCACATGCTCAAGCCAACTCTCTCTAGGCAAATATTAGCCAGAGCAACAAAAGGTTCTGCATAAGGGTAGCAACAACAAACCTAGACTGATGCAAAACTCATACCAGCTTGTTAATGGCTAAAAGAGTTAGTTTACTTCAGCAGTAATAAAACCAACAGCTTTTCTCATGGGCAATATTAAAGCAGATAAAGTTGTACATACTGAAGTAAGCAAAAACAATTTACACCTGCTCTTCCTAAAATTGATTCTGCCTCTCTGTGTGCCTGAAGTATCAGATTTTGCAGGTTGGTAGTAAATGTAAATACGTTACACCCAAATCAGTCCATTTAAAGAGCAGTTCCACAGTCAGGAGACACTGCAAGGCATAAAGCAACAGCTGCAGGTCAGAAAGATCACAGATGTTATGGCCCCTTTACCAGTAACTTTGTCTACAAGAAAACACAAAGGGAGCAGTTTTGCCACAGTTTTGCCACCAGGTTTTTTTTTCTCTGGGTCAAAGAAAGAAGGGAACAGTGACACTGAAGCCTAATCCTAAGCCAGTGGGAATTGCAGAAAAAGTATTTTCATGCTAGGTTTCTTCGTTGGTGAAGAGAGTCTTCTGAACAGATTTTGAAAGCTAAAGAAATCTATAGCAAAGTGACAAAAGCAAGCAAAGCATGATCACTACTCAAAGCCATAAAATACAGTTAGAGGGGTTTTTATAATTTCTTAAGTTTTTTTAAGAATTACCAACAGACAAGAGCAAGAGGCCTTACAAACAGAAAGGGATAAATGATGACAAACAAATATTTCTACTTCAAAATAACACTGTGAAGGGAAGTAGTAAAATAATTGGAGTAAGATAAAAAGACTTTTTCATAAATTGAAGAGCTGAACCAAATACCATACATTTTTCTTTTGAAATCTCATATATTAATTCAAAACAACTTGAAAGAAAATTTAAAAGAAGCAACCAGAAAAAAATATTTAATTGGTTTGCTAAAAAAAATAAAACACCACCAAAAAAAAACCTACCAAAAAACCCACAAAGTTACACCCACAAATGTGGCTCATATTTACCTCTAAGAACTGTGCATTCACTTTAAAATCAGGAGGTGGAAGTCCTTGCTTAACAGCACCTTGTTTTTTTTCTTCAATACATCTGAAAAGGTGCTTAACAGCACGTGATATAATGCCTTGTTCCTCTTCTGTTATGTTGACATCAAATCCAGTGCCCATGGTGTATGTTTTGCCAGCACCTGTCTAATTTGAAAAAGGAGTAGTCACTAGAACATGTTAATAGTACCAAATCATCATAGAAATACAGTTTGTGAACACTAGTGTTCACATCAACCTACCATCTTTACAATATTAACACATACAACAACAGGTCACTTTGAAAAACGGATAAGCAGCAGATTTTGGACAAATTCTACTGTTTATTCAGAGATCACATACAAAAAGGCAGAGAGCAGTTCAATCTCTCATAACCCTTCCCCTAGAAATTTTCCCTACCCAGCTCACATCAGCCTTGAGCTATCTCCTCTAGGTCAAAAGATGAGTTAATGTCTCCAACCAAGGCTGTTAATTGAAACATGTATTTTGAAGGTAAAAGCAGCATTTGCAATTCTTTACTGAAGTAGATCAAATGACTCCCTTAATTAAGATGTCTGAATAACTCAGGTATTATATTCCCATTGTTCTCACTTTATACTAAAGAATACAAGCTCTATCTTCACTAGGAAGATCACCTAATTAAATATGAAGTCCAATAGAAGTCAAGGTAGTGTAGTGTTTTCACTTAATTACTGGGTCAAGTCTAAGACAAAGATAGGATCACAGAGCTGAACATAATCTGCTAAACTGGATCTGCAAACTGCTTTGTTTGACTAAGAATAGACTTCACCTGGCTAACTTGAGATGCAACACCTAACAGAGGTGAAATTCAGCATACAAGACCACATTTTATGCAATCAACTTGTAAGGAAATATTCAGAAGAAGACAACATACTCTCTTACATTGTGCTCAGCTTCGAGTGTGCCCAGTGTACTGAGAGGGTGTGTTCTTGATGCAAAGTTCTTTGACTTTGGAATATGATCACTGCATTTTGCCCACAAGCAAACAATGTGGCCTGAAGTTCTCCAGGATTTGTTTTCTAAAAGCTCCTATTCCCAAAAGTCTCTAAAAATGCAGTGGGTTGAAAAGTTGCTCAGAAAAGAATCTCAGTACAACCTATCTCTATAGTTCAACTGATTAGGTCAATAATTTGTATTGAGGTGAATTCAGGAATTACATGGACTGATATTATTTTCAGGACTACTATTAAATTCAGATCTGTGGCCTGTGTTTCAACTGCCATTCTAAACAGAATTTATATAAACTCACTCTCCTAGAGGGTAACTCATTGAAAATAAACCCAAGATGCTAAAACTAGATTAATGCATTCAGAAATTTAAGAGAAAAATCATTTTCAATCCAAAATAAATGCTTTAAAATAAAATTGCAAAGCTTACCTGGCCATAAGCAAAGACAGTGGCATTATAGCCTTCAAAGCAACCTTCAATCAGCTTTTCTATGCACTGTACATAGATCTCTTCTTGCTGTGAGTCAATGTTAAAGACATAATCAAAAGTGAAGGCCTTATCTTTTCCCAAGAACACTTGAGGTTCACCAGGTGTGACAGATGTACAAATATGGCATCCTTCAATCTTCTCTTTGGCTAACTGTGGTCTAATTCTGTTTTGGAAGAGATAAAAAGAACTATTAGAAATTCTCATCATCAAAAAGAGGAGTGCACAATATAAATAAGGGTCTAAGAATTCCTAATTACTAAGAAGTCAGAATTTTTCTTCAGCAAGCCAGAAGGTTTTTGGCTGTCTGAGCCACAATACTGACTGTATCAGAACCCCAGCAATAAAACTGCTCATGCAAATGACACCATCTTTTCTGAAGTTTCACCTACTTCAAGCTGATGAGCTGCCTAGAACTCTGAATGTTTCTGTATGTATATTATGCATTACTGAAGAGTCAGTCACTTTTCTATGTTGTTTCAGACTTGGAAATCAAGCTTTCCAGTTTTATCAAACTTCTGCATGCTTTCATTGTAAAAACAGTCATTTTACTTTTTTTTTTTTTTTAACAAGCAAGTTAAACATGTAAAAAATATACAGGATAGTTTAAATAGCAATTTGGGAGCAAGGACCCACCAACACCTAGTTTGGCTGGTTAGAGCCTGGTGCTACTGCTGCCAAGATCGTGGATTCAGTTCCTCTATGGGCCATTCACTCCAGAGTTGGACTTAAAGATTCTTATGGGTCCCTACCAATTCAGAAAATTCTGTGATATCTTAAATGAAATAATCTCCTTGCTGTGAGAGCAATGACAGCAAGGAAAAGGCTTTATTTCTTTCCTTTCATCAGAAACGGAGCTTGTACAGCCAGAACACTTGTGTGAAATATTCGGTTTCACTGAAGAAGTATACCTTCCGACAACATAAAAAGAACAATAGTTAACAGTAGTTCACAATAGTTAAGTTTTAAAGAGTGTCTCATTCCTCATTATTTCCCCTCTAAGGCAAGTTTCAACTTTTCTTTCAGTTTGTTCAGTTTCTTATTTTACAAAATAACTTATAGAATATAGCTTGAACATCTTATATTCTATCATTTTATTAATTCCTCTGCCCTCTTAACACTCTTCCAGCCTTATCAAAATTGAATTAAGGTACTGGCCTCACAACTAATAATGACTGCAGAAGCTTGTGATTCGATGGGTTTAATGATTAACTATCAAGAAGAAAAACTCTGGCCCACTTAACACATTTTTCTAGCTATAAGGTACTAATAATTTGCTTACAAAGCTACCTTTGTAAAAAATATTTCCAAGTTCTCAAAGCACCACCAAAAAAACAATCCAAACCAAAAACCCAAATGCACAATACGCACACCAAAACGTGTGCAGCTTAAAAGATGTAACAAAGAAGGCTAATAAGAATGACAAAAAAGCAGCAGTACAGCTACATACAAACAGAATCATGGAATATTTTATATAGATCCTCCAATTATATAAAACTTCAGAGTGGCTACTTTCAGTGACACAGTGTCAAAGACCTGCATGCACAGAGTATATTTAAAGGCACATATTCATCTCATAGTCCATGTTTTAAGGGCCACATGCACATCAATGCTCTGTTTAGGGCAGCTGTGCTGCCTTGAAGCAAATTCCCCAACATTTTCAGATATCACATGTTGGTTTGGATCACAAAGCCGTTTCAGAGTGCACAATTTACACCCCCTTCAGAGGAAACTAAGCCAAAATGCTTGACTCCAAACACACAAAACTTGTTCCAAAATCTAATGGGAGCATAAGGGCCCAAAGCTACCTGCTGATCTACTGTGACTGTGCCAACACCTGCTGATACAGAGCAAGCTTGTCTCCAACAACTGAGTGGGCTGCTGCAGACTAATTATGTAGATGTTAGATGAAGTTAGAAATATCCTGCTTGAAAAAAATACAAAAAAAAAATCTCACAGAGCATGATGTGTCTACTTTTTATTGCAGATTCTGAATTTTTCATCCAGGGATGTGCACTGCTGTCAAGAGTATTTTTCAGATTTTTCCTTCTGAGGGTTTCATTATATCCCACATGTGACACTAGAGATTAACCTTCATTTATCTGTAAGGTTTTCTGCACATTAATTTCAGTATGGAAATTTCATTAATGATCAGGAGGTACCACCCTTGTCAGCTTCCCCTCTAATGTGAAAATTAAGTAAACCTTTGAAAAATATCATTAAAGAAAAGATTACATGATGTGCAAAATAGGCATAAATATTCTACAACTAGTATTTGCATTTAAGTATACAAAGTGTGTAATATAGGTCAAATTTTCTCTCTAACGACATCATAAGGAGTTTTTTTTTTTCTTTAAATGAAATAAGAATGCTGAAAGTAATACAGGATTTACATAACTCCTTCAATAACAACCAACTTGATCCACTTGTACCTGTGTCAACTGAACACAGAATTTGATAAATATGTACAGAAACTTGTAATACATTTACTTCCTTCTAAATTCAGGAAATTTTGGTAATAAAATAGCTTTTATTTCTAGGTAGAGAAAGTCCTCAAAGAAAAAAAAAATAATCATATGCCTTTTCTAAAAGCATTCTACACAACTGGAAGGTCAAGCAAATAAAACACTGCAGCTTGCTGTCTAAAACAATATTTAGAAAATGCCTACTCAGTAGGTTATTCTGTTGCCTTCTTTTACTGCCATGAAGTCAGTCAGAGGGCAAACTCCTTTTTCAGACTAAGCACTCTTATTCTTTCACTAACCCAGTGCACACAGTACAGAGGCCATCAACTGTCCCTACAAGAATGAACTCTGAGGGCTTGTAAAGGTCCAGAGACATGTCTCATAGCCTTCCAGAGCAGAAAAGCCTGGGAAGATCTCTTCTAGAAATCCAGATGGAAAACACATTTTCAATATCAAGCAAGCTTTAGTGATCCCAAAAGCACAACTTCTCCCCAGTTCCAAAAAGGCTTTTAACAACAATTTGCAGAATGAAGCTGACAAGTTTTTTTTTAAGTTTTTCCTAATATGTTTTTATTCTGTGCTTGAAAAAGAATTAATTTTCTACACTGATGAACTGATGCAATTATGACAGGTGCCGAATAAATTTCTCCTTTCTACTACTAAGTAAAGACTGACCGACCATGAAAAGGAACAGCATGCCTAAAATATCAATGATTTGCATGATAATTATTACAGTGATGACAGGAGTGTGAAGCGAGCAGTTTCGATGTCGCCCAGCAGAGACTTCCCATGAGAATTCTCCTGGCCAGGTCCTGCCTTGCAGCCATGCAGCACCTCCCAGAGCTGTGCTGCACAGCAGCTGTACAGACCAGCCCAGCACAACCAGCCCACGGCTGAGCTGAGGGGTACCTGTGTCACTGCTAGAGCTTCTTTCCAGCTTAACCACCTCCCCTGGGTGGTGACACAGTATTCAGAGATCCAGCAATGATGATGGTGTCCTTCTTCCCTAACTTACCACTAAATCTGAAAGCAGTGCTAGGAGAAACAACACAATTCACCAGCACTTAGGCAACACAAAGGAAATACAAAGCAAGACTCACTACAGCAGGGAAGCTTCACGTCAAAGAGAGACTCCCTCCTCATTCTGTCAGTAGTCTTACACACTGTCCCACTCTGCTTTGGAGTTGAGAGGTAGCAGAGACAGATCATGACTGCACATCAGGCTTGAATGACATTTTCCCCCAAAAGAGATGTGCAGACAAAAATCCTTCATCACCCAACCTGAGGTCTCCTTAAGGGATACTTCATTCTCTGAAATCTATACAGCTCTCTTGCTAAACTTACCATGAAGCTAATGTGATGTCCTCAAGGAGTAAGCAAGAGATTCCTTCCCTTCACCCTGATTTCTGCCCACTTACAAACAATGTGAGTGCATCACCCAAACCTCAAGACTCTCAGTCTTACTATTTGCACTGAATGTGTGGTCCAGCTAACAGAAGTCCTCATGCAAGTCGAATTTGGCTCCAGCACTGCCTATAGGAACATCTCCTCCTTCTCCACCCCACACATGAATTGGGAAAGTGATTTTTTCCTTTCTGCTTACAGTCAAACATTTTTCACTCTTACGTCTTCATGTGGTCACTTCTGTCAGCAAAGCAGGCAGCACCCACACTTAAAAAATGTGAAAGAGTTCATTCTGGTCATCTCTGCTTGCCCAGCCTGTGGTCTGGCAGTCTGCCACTGAGATTTTTCTCCAGGACCAATTTGACTTTGCCCATTTTGTCTTCTACATGGCCCCACCCCATCTGTTTTTCAGGCTACTCTCTTAATTGCAGATAATCAGGTGTTTTCTACCTATTTTCAATCACATATCCTTAGATGTGGCAACTTCCCAAACAGCATTTTGCTCTCCATCCTTCCCTCTGCTCCTCTCCAAAGCATGAACACACCCAATTCTTGTTTACGTGTACTTTGCAGCACCTCCAGGCCACACACATGAAACTTAATCCCCTAAATCTCTCCTGCTTTAGCACACTGGGACAAGTTGTCAAATTAGGGAGTACTAAACCAGCCAGCGGTTGCACAGTAATGCACTGTATTGTACTGGAACTAATCCCTCAGTAGAGCAGGGGCACAATGTCTCTGCTAAAAGTATTGTCAGCTAGAACAGACTCAGATAATACAGTTCAGGGACTACAGTCATCATCAGACCAATACCCTGTGTTACGCAAGACATCAGACTTTACAGAATTGATTCTTGTTTAAACTAGATAATATCATAATATCTCTTTGAAAAGCATCCTGAATTTACTTCTAGGGATGAAAAATTGTCCCAGTGATCTAAATACATATTATTTACATAAATAACTACATGTATATATACATACACACACATCCCTTTTTACTACTAAATAGTTTTACCTCTGTGCCTGATTATTTAAAAACCTCTCCATTATTCAATTTTACCCAAGCCATCTCTAACCAACTATGATCACATCACCACTTAATCTCATTTCATATACTAAACAAGACCAGTGATTTTATAAAATTTGCATCTCCATGAGAAGAACTGTAAACTCTAACAAAGGGTAATAATCAAAGTGTTTACCATATGCCTTCTCAGCACCTCTACAGAATAGCATTAAGCATACAAGAACTTCTCTGATTGATCTAAAAAGGGCAAAGAATCAAATTATTCTTG